TCAAGCACCTTAGGTAAGGCTTATGTCTCACATTGGTTGAGGCTCGACTTATGGTACCCCTCACCACAATTCCACTGATGCATACTCCTCGAATACAAACCAAATTCTCACTCTCACGTGCAAGTGTTCGCTTCTCTCTAGTTAAGCTTCCAAGCATTATCACTTGTTGCTTCTGCTGTTGGCGCCGCCATCATTGCCTAATACTTCTGTCGTCGCCCCAACTGATTGCTGCTTCGACAATCAGCTTTGACACCGCTGCTTCCACTATAGCACACCTGTTTCTTTTGCTATTGTTGCTCGTTGCCCATTGCTATGATTTTTGATTATTTATTAAATTCTTATTTAAATCTATGAATATTTTACATTTGTTAGACAATAAGAATCAGAGAAGTCTATTAAACTCATCTTGTCTTACTTTATATTTTATATTACTTTCATTTTAAATTTTATATTAGTTTGATGACTTGATCATTTAATATTTGCATTATATTTTTATTTGTGCAAATTATTTTGATATTTTGTAGGTTACATAATTTTATATTTCATATAAACGCAATGTCATTTATTACCATGCTAGCATGTTATGGTGCTAATATCTTATTTTAATCTCCTTATTTTTGATTTACACAATTTTCAAACTATGAGGCTTATGCCTCTTTAGGCTTACATGTCACCTCACTAATGGGAAACATCTCAATAACTAATTGCACAATTTAAATATTTCTCTTTAAGATGTGCTTCATATTCCCAATTTGTATTGTAGCTATTGTCCATTAGTAAAATTATCTCTGAACATCGAAGTAAAGCTAATTCTACTCTTCTTGTTGTGAGTTTCAAAAATTGATCACAAAGAGGATAATTAATAGTTCTAAGGAAACAAATGGATTCTATTATTTTGAAGACGGACTTGACTCGAATAGACAATGTTAAAATACTTATTTAATCTCTCTTTTTCTTTCAAAAAGACAATGATATTTTGTTATGACGATATAGGTTAGACCATCTTAATTTTCAATATTTAAAATATCTGCTTTCTAGTTTTTTTAAGAATGAAAATGTCATTCTTTTAATGTGAAGTTTGTCAATTTGTTAAACATCATCGTGGGTATTTTCCTCACCAAACTTACAAACTAATTATACTATTTATTTTGATTTATAGTGATATCTATGGTCGTTGTAAAACCCTTACATATTCTGAAAAAAATAGTTTATGATATTTATTGATGATCACACAAAATATAGTTTGGTCTTTTTAACGAAAGATAAATCTGAATTGGAAACATTAAAAAAAACTTTTACACCACTGTACAAGCATAATTTCAAAATACTATTCAAATATTATGGAATTATAATAACAAAAAAAATTTCAAAAAAAAGGGTTTTTTTTTTTTTGCAAAAAGAACAGTCCATCAAAGCTCTTGTGTCGACACTACACACAAAATAATATGACTAAAAGAAATAAAATTTCTTGAAAATAGTTTCAATATTATTTTTTACTAATAGCGTGCCAAAATATCTTTGAGGTGAAGTTGTTCTCACAACTACATTTGTTATGAATAGAACAGACAATACTATTTTAAATTTTGAAGCACTTTTTTGATATTTTTCAAGTAATTTATCTAACAAATTGTCTCATCTTATATATCTTTAAAGATATTTGGGTGTAATGCATTTTTTTCAATTCATAAGTCATAATTAAGGAAAACTTAAATCCCAAGCTAAAAAATGTGTTTGTTGGTTATGCTTCCACTTAAAATGAGTATAAATATTTTGATTATATTTCTACAAAAGTATTTGTTATCATGGTTGTCATCTTTTTCTTTTCAATTACAATCCTTTTAACATATCATCTTTAGAGGAGAAAATACAAAGATCGACTATTTTTAGAATTTTTTTCAAATCAAAGATGTACAAAATAATATCGCCTTAACCTTAATTGTTCAACCTGAAAATCTAATTTATATTACATCAAAGGAAAGTGGGTTGTGTTTTTTAAATGTCGAAGACGATTGTGGTCTTCCTATAGTGGCATCTCATGATGTTTATGACCCTATAAATCTAATAAAAAAGAAACAAGAAATAAAGTTACGATAGTAGTATCATTTGACTTTGTCTTCTCGTGCCAGAGAACAACTCAAAATAGGTCTACTAATCATTGGCATTACTCAGAGTCCACAAACTTTTAAGGTAATGTCCTCACCGAGTCTTTAACCCTTCATCAGGCCACTGCATCTTCATGTACCGAATCTTATAGTTCGGAACCCGAATCTAGTTCTAATCACAGGTCTAATGATTCTAATTTTGTTATTGCTGCTTGTAAGGGAGTGAGATCTTGCATCCAACATCCATTGCCCCATGTTTCATATTAAAATATTTCACCCATTTTTTTGTGTTTTTACCTTACAATTGTCTTATGTGAAGATTCCTAATATTTTGCAAGATACTCTGAACGTTCCTAAGTAGAAAGAGGGTTTCTTCGAGGGGATGAATGCTCTTGAAAAAATGACATGGGATTTAGTTGATCTATATAGAGGAAAGATAACTATAAGGTATAAATGGGTGTTTACAGTCAAATATAATTTTGACGGTTTTCTAGAAGTGTACAAGGCTTGACTGTTTGTCAAATGATTCATTCAGACCTAGGTCGTTGATTACTTAGAGACATTCTCCACAATCATAAAACAGAACTTTATAAGAGTTTACATGTCACTTGTAGTTAATCTTAGTTGACCTCTACAATAGTTAGGTATAAAAAATACATTTCTTAATGGAAACTGAGGAAGAAGTGTACATGAATACACCTTCAGGATTTTGTGAGAAGTTCAACACAGACGCGTTTAAACTAAAACGTTTTTATACGGTTTGAAGCAATCATTGGGAGCGTTGTTTGGGAAATTTACTCTGTTTTTTAAAGTTCGGGCGTACTCAAGGGCAAAGAGATCATAGTGTTTTTTAGACATTCAAAGACTAAGAAGATAGTCATATTGATTTTGTATGTTGATGACATAATTCTCACCGGAGATGGCATATATGAGATGAACCATTTGAGGACTTTTCTCTCATCAATTTTTGAGACCAAGGACAAAGAATGTCTAAGATATTTCTTTGGCATGGAGGTTGCTTTATCAAAGAAAGGGATTGTTGTTTCCCAACGGAAATATATCCTTGATCTTCTTGAGGAAACTAGGTTCTTTAGTTGTTGGACTATAGATCTAATTGATCCCAATCAGAAACTGGTAGATGTGAAGGAAGGTGATCTTGTGAATACAATTAGGTATAAAAAATTGGTGGGAAAGTTAATATATTTATCACATACATGGCTAAATATTGCATTTGTTATGAGTTTGATAAGTCAATTTATGCAATCGCTTATGAAAAATAGCTTGAAATTGTTAATAGGATTCTTAGATAAAAAGTACACCAGACAAGAGCTTACTCTTTCGAAAGATCACAAAATAGAATATATAGGCATACACTGTTGTAGATTGGGCGGGCTCAGTTATTGACAGGAAATCAACGTCCATATATTGTACTTGATGTCTGTGGAAATCTGATTACATGGCGGAGTAAGAAACATAATGTGATTACGAGGAGTAGCACAAAGGCAAAATATAGGGCTATAACTAATGGTATATGTGAGATGTTATGGTTGAAGATAGTTCTTGAAGAGTTATGAATTTCGATAAATATGCCAATAAAGTTATATTGTGATAATAAAACCGTCATAAGCATTGTAGAAAATTCAGTGCAACATGATCGCAGAAAGCATGTGGAGATTGATAAACACTTCATCAAAGAGAAGATTGATTGTAGAGCTATTTGTATTCCTTTTATCCCGACCATGCTACTAATAGCAAATATCTTCACCAAAGGACTTCTCAGGCCTAATTTTGAGCTCTTTATAAGCAAGTTAGACATGATAAATATCTAGGCTCCAACATAAGGTGAAGTGTCAAAGTTTTAGGAATTTCTATTTCGAGTATATTCTATTTTTAGTATTTCCTATTTTTATAACTTTATATTGTTAGTAATTTTTGATTTTTTTTCCTTTTTACTAGCAAGAAGATTTTGTGGCTTTCCTAATTTGTTAGCCTTCTTGTGCTATTTTACCTTGCAAATGTCTCGTATGAAATAGAAGAGGAATAATTATTTTTCATACTCCAAAAAAAAATTACAATACCAAACATATTTTATTTCAACTAAATAAATAAATAATTAAATAAAATCAAAATTGATCCAAAAATTCCGTTAGTCTTTGCCTTCCATTCATGCTATTTTCTTCTTATTTTTTGACAATATACATTCTCTCCGTTTTATGAAGGTCTCTAGCTTAGTTCTGAGATACATTAGTTATAATACTAATCAAACATTGCTCTTGATACTCTTACTATAAGAAGAACATTTTTTATTCAAAATATTATATTTGTCATTTTTTTCAGGCAGATGATATTCGGAACAAAGGAAGGGAACTGATTCAGCCCCGAGTTGATACGATTAGGGAGCAATTAGCACCATTGAGATCTTGGGTAAGCTTTTAATGGTTCTTCTTTGTCAGTATTTTTTCTGTCGGATTTAAATACATACCACATAATTCTTATGTTTTTACATGTTTAACATTTAAACTTTAATATTTACTTATATAATACTCGAGTTATAAACACATCAAAATATATGCGGAAAGGTTAAGATTCATGATAATTTGATGTGATGTTAAAAACATTAGATGTTATGGATAGGGGTGTAAACGAACCGAACACGAACAAACAAAGCTTGTGTTCGTGTTTGGTTCGTTTAAAATTTAGTTTGTTTGAAATAAGCTTGTGTTCGTTTCTTATATTTTCTTCTTATTTTTTGACAATATACATTCCCTCCGTTTTATGAAGGTCTCTAGCTTAGTTCTGAGATACATTAGTTATAATACTAATCAAACATTGCTCTTCATACTCTTACTATAAAAAGAACCTTTTTTATTCAAAATATTATATTTGTCATTTTTTCAGGCAGATGATATTCGGAGCAAAGGAAGGGAACTGATTCAGCCACGAGTTGATACGATTAGGGAGCAATTAGCACCATTGAGATCTTGGGTAAGCTTTTAATGGTTCTTCTTTGCCAGTATTTTATCTGTCGGATTTAAATACATGCCACATAATTCTTATGTTCTTACATTTTTAACATTTAAACTTTAATATTTACTTATATAATACTCGAGTTATAATCACATCAAAGTATATGCGGAAAGGTTAAGATTCATGATAATTTGATGTGATGTTAAAAACTTTAGATGTTATGGAAGTAAATATCAAAATTTAGATTTTAGATATGTGATGTATTAAATTTGTGTGATACGTATGGAAATATCAAAAATTAGATTTTCCATCTTGATGCTTCTGCATAACCATTCTTTTAATTAAATTTTTTTGAAAATATTATAACTTTTTTTTATCAAATTTTATGTAAAAATGATGTTTTGAGGTGAAAAATGCCTTTTTTTTAAATATTATAACTTTTTTTTATCAAATTTATGTAAAAATGATGTTTTGAGGTGAAAAATGCCTAAAATTTAATTAAAATGATGAGTATCACAGGTAGAAAAGATCACAGAGAAATGGCATGTACATGGAGAGGGTAAAATTAAAGAGAAACCCATTGTCAAAGAATTTTCAAAGGTATTTAGTTCAAATTCATCGAATTAAATCATTCAATGAGGTAATGATTTGTTGTTGTTGTTGTTATTGTTTTTATTTTTTATTTTTATTTTTTTTGGTCTTTGTTTGATGTAAATAGAACAATTGTCTGATCGAATCATTCAATGAGGTAATGATTTTTCGTTGCTGTTGTTGTTATTGTTTTTATTTTTTATTTTTTATTTTTTTTAGTCTTTGTTTGATGTAAATAGAACAATTGTCTGATCTTTATGTGACAAAGAAACCTATTGTCTTTATTGCTCTAATGATGTAGCTTTGATGTCTTCTCTGGAATATGTGTGGTATATACATACATACATACATACATTATAATAGGAAATTGTAGCTTTGATGTCTTCTCTGGAAAATGTGTGGTATATATATATATATATATATAAGGAGAAGATTCAAACTTATTCGGAATATTTTGATTTTATGGGTGCAGGGAGAATTTGTATAATTACAAATATTACAAGAGTTTTCTTTAGAGTCAGAACTAATTGTAATAGGGCTATAAATGGGCCGAGCTTGACCGAGCTTAATTTTGGCTTGTGTTCGACTCGTTTAAAACTAATTCTGTTCAAATTAATTGTAGATAGGGCTATAAATGGGCCGAGCTTGACCGAGCTTTTGTGTTCGACTCGTTTAAAACTAATTCTGTTCAAAATTAGCTTGTGTTCGAAATTGCTTGTGAGCAGTGTGTTCACGACAACTTGATTTACATATTTTTTATCGTGTTCAACTTAAAATTGATTCATCTAAATTAACTAAAAAACTAGATTTAGGGTGTTGAATTAAAATCTTCATCCCTCCCATGAAATATATAAAAAAAAATCACATGATCGCATGAGTTGTTGTGATTTAAACTTAGATATAAACATATACTATATATTACTATATAAATAATATACATAATTTCTTTATTTCAAGTTAAAATAAGTTGAACATGATCGAAAAAAGAGTTGTTTAGTTTCGGCCCTTTTATAATTTAAGTTAAAAAAAATTGACCGTGTTTGATTTACTTAACGAACGATTCAAATATGAGTTACTTAACAAGTTGAGCACAAGCTTCTCTTCATATATATAGCACCAGAAGTGAGTAAGTAGGGCATCTCAGTTTTTATAAAAGTAACATAATCTGTTCCCTTCTTTGTTCATAAGTATCATTAAAGTCTTTTAAAATGTTGTCAACTAATTTAATTTGACTTTATACTTCACATTTTTGCTCATCGGTTTTATATCATATATCATAAATCATAAACCATATGCTAGAAACTTCTATTTTCTTCCCACGCGCAAGCCATTCGGGTCAACGGCACAACTTGAATTCTTGGTCCAAAGGAGCATCTTTTAGCTTTTAGCTATCAACCACCAATAGAGGACTTTGTGTTAGTGATGTGTGCCAATTTTTATTTCAATTAATCATTTTAGCCACACTCTGAATTTCAATTAATTGAAATGAATTTGATAATTTTGACAAGTTTTATATTGACATATTTTAAAATAATAACTTAATGTATAATTTTATTGTATTAATTTGAAAGTCTTAAAATATTATATATATGATATTCGGAACAAA